TGTCCAGGTTCTTGGTGGTCTCAAAGCATGTGAAAAAGCTGTTTAGCTCCTCTGCCAGAGTGCTACTGCTCTCGCTGTTTGTTGGGCCCTGGTCAGGGCCTGTATCCCCCTCCACATCTGCCGTGGGTCACTGTCAGTAAAATGGCCCTCGACCTTTCTCCTATACATCTCCTTAGCATGTTTGATCCCTTCTCAGCTCAGCTCTGGCAGTGCTGTGCTGTGAGGTGTCACCTGCTCTGAAAGCCAGGTCACGGGCCCTGATCAGAGTCTGGACTTTGCTGGTCATCCAGGGTTTCCTGTTTGGAAAGGTCTGTATGCGTTTGTCCACAGTGATATTTTCTACACAGGTCTTCATGTAGAAAAGCACAGTATAACTTGAAGTCCTGTTGTTTGAAGATGCTCCAATCTGTGCGGGCAAAACAATCCTAAAGCTGGGAGAGGACATTTTCAGGCAAGCATCTAATAGTTTGACTGCTAGGTTTTGTTCTCTTCCTAAGGGGAGTGTAGGCTGGTAGTAAAAGCAGGGTGAAATGGTCTGATTGGCCTAAGAGGTTTTGCTCTATAAGCATGCTTGATATTTGAATACACATGATCAAGTGTGTTTTTCCCCCTGGTTGGGCACTTAACATGTTGGTAAAGTTTGAGGAGCATGTTTTTAGGTATGCTCTGTTGAAATCCCCAGCAATGATGTGAACACCCTCAGGATGAGCTCTCTGTTGCGTGGTAATTATGTCTTGAAGGTGACTGAGCGCCATGCTAACATTAGCATCTGGAGGTAAATATACAGCATTGATGGTAACTACTGTTAGCTCCCGTGGCAGATAAAACAGTCTACACTGAACAGTCATGGCCTCTAAATCTGGTGAGCAATGGCTATTTGTTATTTTGCTGTTTGTGCACCAGTCTTTACTTACAAAGTTGTAATTGTAAATATTGCCATCTGATAGATATCTCTGATAATCTCTTAATACCGAGTATATTAGAAATTCATCATCTATCAGTTGGTCTAAATGATAGATGATGAGAGAGTATTTACACCAAGACAAATTCCTTGTGCGTCCAATCACACTTGGCCAATAAAGTATTCCATTCCATTCTATTCTATTGATAACTTCCCCACTTCCATCCATTTTTTCATACAACCATCTTTCTGTTTAAAGTTGGTTTTCCCATAAAATAAATTTGGCATGAGGATCCCCAGAAAATAGCACTCTGAGCAGTGAGGCATTTTTTTCTCCCTGCCAGTGAACAACTGACTTTGTTAGCAAAGCTGGTCCTTTGACAGCATACTCCCCAGATTTGAATGGGAGTATCTAGGAACGTCCCGTGACTATCCTTGGATGACCATGGACAGAAAATATAGAGGATTACAATGGCTGGAGTGGTTGCGTCTCCATCTTTTCCAGTCACCGTTTGTATTTTTAGGTATGGCTCTGTTTTTAACTTCACTTTTTGATGTTTGATTGTTAATAGTCTGGCTGAATGCCGATTTGCTTTATACTCTTTTGCTTGATTACAAATGTAAACTTTCATCAATTTAATCCAGAGTTTTAAAATACTTTTTCTTTTGGTGCACGGAAGTTAGTGGCATGACAGTTTTTTTTCCTTTGCAGTAAAAGTGACTTGATCTGATTTAAATGGGATTTTAACTCCAGCAATTTTGTATTTTACCAGTTTTTCTAAAAATACTCCATTGCTTCATTTTATTTTTGTATGCAGTATTTTGCAAAATGCTGGTTGTGCAGAAAATCCTGTAAATTAATGTTTTCGGAAATAAAATGTTAATAGTTTATTTTTATCAGTTATAACAAAATAGAAATGAACAGAAGAGAAATCCAAATCCAATCAATATTTGGTGTGATGACCCTTTGCCTTCAAAACAGCATTAATTCTTACACTTGCACAAAGTCAGGGATTTTATAGGATTACAGTCAGATGTATGATTAACCAATTATATCAAGCAGGTGCCAATGATCACCAATTTCAAATATAAATTGTAACACAGTCATTGGCTGAAACAGAAACAGTTGTATATGAGGCTTAAAACTGGGTGGAAATGGATAAACTTGGGTGAGATTCCACCAGTTTGGACTGGTTTGGGTGAAATAGATGTTAAACTTACATCTGGTTTGCCAAACTGGTACTTGAACCGACTGGCTGGCCCTGCCCACCCTGCCCCTCTTCTCCCAGGAGTCTCCATGTGGCCCATTTTGGATGCAGGTAAGTGCAGGGTCTGGGCAGAGGTTCTGGGAGGGCGAAAAATGGCCCTCCTGGAACTTCTTCCTTTTAGAGACTGAGTCTCACCAAGCCACGTCCACCAAGCCATGCCCACAGAGCCGGTAGGAAAAACTTTTGAATTTCACCCCTGATCTCAACCATACTCTGAAAGCACAAGCTGTGAAGCCAGACCAACAATGGCAAAGTAGTGAAGATACCTATTTTAAATCTGGCAAAACTGACAGTGCAATTTTGCATGTTAGACATAGTCTATAGCAACATGGTGGGGGATTTTGCATGTTAGACATAGACATAGCAACATGGTGGGGGATTGTCTTCCTTCCAAATGTAGCACTATTCCTGAAAGGGCCACTAGAGTCTAGATCCCTGTATCCCTTTCTTCAGACAGTTAGCTTCTTCTGTGACTGGCTTCTCAATATCTCTCATTCTGTCCTTTCCTCTGGCCATTAGCCCACTCTGGTTGCTTGTCCATGTGCCTCTGCTCACCTCCTCTGTCCCTTGGTATGTCTAGCACAGCCTCTGGTCCCTTGCTTGGTCACTCACCTACATTAAGTCAACTCAGCTGTCCTCTGCTGCATCCGATGCTCCCTCTGGTCACTGGATGGCTCACTTGCCTGGCTCATTTGCCTCTGCCTTCTGTCCTTTGGCAAATCTGTAATAGCCTCAAGCTTCGTAGGGTCAGTTGATATCCATTGTTTGGAGACAACATGCCCAAGATAGCTGACAGAGACTTGATAAAGTTCAAAGCATTCTCAAAGATCCATCTCATCCTGGGAACCCTTTTTTTGAACTATTACCATCTGGCAAACGGTACATAATAATAAAAGCAAGGACAAATAGGCTGAAAAACAGCTTCTATCCCAGGGCAGTAGCTCTTTTGAATTCTGCTGTATAGTGCAGTGTTGGTGCCGTGTTGGGGATTTCAGTTCTATGTGTGGAGTGTGAAGGATGTGTGTTTGTGTTTATTTTCATGGTCATGATGTGCAGTGAAGATGGTGTTTGATTTTGTTGTATGAGGTGCAATGACAATAAACTAAACTAAACTAAAACTGACACTTCTCCTGGGACAGCTTCAACCCCTCCTTCTGGATTTATATCAGGACTTTCTCCAGTCACTCTTCATGTTGTTCAAAAATCTCCCTGAAGACAATGATGTCATCTAAATATGCTAACACCTCAGTCAAGTCCATGTCTCTGACTGTCTGCTCCATAAATTGCTGGAACATTGCTTGGGTCCCTGATAAACCCTGGAGCATCTGATTGTACTTGTAGAACCCCAGTGGGCAAATGAATGCCATCTTCTCTCAATTGTCTGGGTACATGGGAAACTGATGGTTACCTACTCTTCAGATCCAGCACACTGAACCACTTAGTCCTCAGTAGGCAATGTAATGTGTCCTTGATCTGTGGAGTAGTATACTGGTTTGGGATGTTGCTCTGGTTGAGCATGTTGTAATCTATGCACTTCCTTCCCCATTTGTTTTCTAGACACCACTATGGGAGAGCCATAAGAGCTCTGAGACTCTCAGATAATCCCCAAATTTTCCATTCTTCTGGATGTTCTCTGAAGTTCTCCAAGTCACCTAAAGGGATTTGTCAAGACCTCTCTCTGAACAACCTATCCTCTTATAATCAAATTCAATGTTGGGCACTCCTAACACATCCCACATCAAACTCATGTTTTAAGAATAAATTCTGCCACCTCAAAAGTTAATCTCTGGCCCTCTTCTTCTATTCTGGGGTGAGTGGAGTGTCCTTTGGATAGAGCTGTTCCACTGGGAGCTTGCCCTCAGCACCCTCCCCTGAACCTGCCATTACAATGAGGGTGACCACACTTAGTTGTCCTAACAATATCCAGTCCTTTAATGTCAGCGGGACATCTGTAACATTTCTGAGCCCTATCAAGATTCTCCCTTGGCTTTGCCACAATGTCCTTATGGGGAGCACTTCAAGGATCACTTCCACCCCAATGTCTCTTCTCTTGGAGTCAGCTTTGAGACAACATAGGGCCCAGGCTGTTTCCAGTTTAGCAACAACAACAAAGGAAACAGCAAAAAATATAATATATCATTTTAGCAGTAACTAGTTACAATTCTATATGTAGTTATGTAATGCAATTATTATTCTATACATTTATATTTCTAATACATTTATATAACTATCATATTTTGTTTACTTTTTTGAACCTGATGTATTTTGTATAAATGATCCAATATTGCAATAACTTTGTCCATACAAAGTCTAGATCAGGGCTGTCAAACTTGTGGCCCATGGATGCATCTAAGGCATATAGTTCAAAAGAATATTATTTCAAAATGTTAACAATTGTAATTGTTGGTGGCCTTTACAGTTTGTATGGAATTTCCAATTTTTGTAAAATGACATGTGGCCCCTAGTCATATAACCATATTTTGGACGCTTGTCGATCAGTTTAAATTTACCTCTCTTGCCAAGTGACTGCTGTTTGCAATCTTACTTGCCAGCTTTCCAAGAAAGTCAATGGGGAAGCCGGCAGTGAATATTGCAAGTAGAGGGGGACATGGATTTGAGTTCAACTCCATCAGTGCACTGAGGGATTTGCTGTCCCTTCCATTTACGTAAGGGAAATACTCCTATATATTGAAGGAATGGATCTTAATCTGGTCAAATGCAACCAAATGCCAACTCAAAATGTTATCAAACTTTCAATAGAATTTTTCCTCAGAGAAAATGCAATTATGTGTTATTTCTTTAATATGAAGGAAGTTATATTTAAAACATTTTTACTTCAGTAATATTATCTTGTCTAACATTCTCCTAACTGCATTTTTCACCTCCTTGTTCCGTAGACTATAGATAAGTGGATTAAGTGAGGAGATGACAAGAGTATAAAAGACAGATATGATTTTGTCTTTATCCAATGAGAAATTGGAGCCAGGTCGTATATACATGAAGATTATGGTTCCAAAGAAAATGGTCACAGTGGTGAGATGGGAGGCACAGGTGGAGAAGGCTTTGTATCTTGCCTGGGCAGAGCTGATCTTCAGGACGGCAATAACAATGGCAATGTAGGAAATCAAAACTGTCAGAAAAGTTGTCAGTGCAATTACAGTGGATAAAATGAAATGCACAAAATGAGCAAGCTGAGTATCTGAACAGGACAATTTAAACATTGGAGGAGCATCACAAAAAAAATGATTAATTGTATTTGAGCTGCAGAAATTCAAATTAAAAATAAGTATGGTTTCCACTGTTGAACTTACAAACCCACAGGTATATGAAGCTATAACCAAAAGGATGCAAACATTCATTGACATAGTAACAAAATACTGCAATGGGTTGCATATTGCTGTGAAGCGATCAAATGCCATCACAGCCAGAAGGCAACTTTCAGTAGTTACAAAGATGTCGACAAAGAAGAATTGTATGGTGCATCCTGTGATGGAAATGGTTGAATGTTCTATCATAAATGTTGTCAACAATTTGGGGGCAATAGCAGTAGAATAACCAATGTCTACAATGGAGAGATTTCTAAGAAAAAAGTACATGGGTGTGTGAAGCCTAGCATCAATTTTTGTTACAATGATTATCCCAATGTTTCCCACCAGAGTGATGAGATAGATGAGCAGAAAGAAGATGAAGAGAGGGATCTGAAGTTTTGGGTTGTCCATGAATCCAACAAGGATGAACTCAGTCACCGTGCTTTGATTTGTCTGCATTTTTTATTTCACTCTGATTGAATAAAAATGGAGGGAAAACCTTATAACAATATGAGTACTGTTGGCTTATCTTAGAATACCCAAGGTTATGTAAGATAAATCAATCAGAATAGAACTGGCTCGCATCCGAAGTCCAAAAACTTCTTCATGGTGCTTTATGAGAATTAAATCTCCTGTAGTATATGAAATGCAAAAATGCAGAATAACAAGGTAACAGAATTGGAAGGGACCTTAGAAGTCTTCTAGTCCAACCCCCTGTTCAAACAGGAGGCCCTATACCATTTTAGTCAAGTAGCTGTCCAGTCTTTTCTTAGAAACCTCCAGTGATGAAGCATCCACAACTTTGGCAGGCAAGCTCTTCCACTGGTTAATTGTACTCACTGTGCCGAAGTTTATCCTGAATTCCAGGTTTGTTCTCTCCTTCATTAGTTTCCATCCATTATTTCTTGTCTTGCATTCTGGTGCTTTGGAAAATAAGTTTACCCCCTCCTTGTATTTTCCAGGGAGCATTTTTCTGTGTGAAATAATATAGACTTCCTGCTCCAAGAAGCTAGAAGTCTATTACATTCTACTACTCTCCAAAGAAGCCCAAATTGATCAATTATTTGAACTGTGTGAAATGAAGTGTAATCTACTTTGGTAGGAAATGTTCTGTGAAACAATCTTTGATGACTATTGGCAACTATGCATTAACATTTTTCTAAATTACATCTGAAATTAATTCCAATTTGTGATCCATAATCTTTACATTTACAACTAGTTTTAGATCATTTCAAACTGGCCGATTAGCATGCACTATAGCTCTGCCTGCAGCAGAGTTCTATCTAATATTTCTTCTTCCAAGTAGAAATACTCTTAAATGGAATACCAAACTTATATCTAACTATGCAGTTTAGATTAAGTGGATTTTAAAACTGGCAGGACATTAGCTATGTCATGCAATATATTATTCCACTGGCAGCACCATATCTTCATAGCCACATTGTAATGATTGTGGTCATTACAGTTGTGCAGGTATATGTATTTGTTTTCCATTTGAACATTAATATGTTTACTACATCATAAGTAATAGAAATTGATTGAGGAGATACTGTATAAAACAGTTTTTCTCAATCGACAAATAATAAGATTAACCATTGAAGCCTATAGTGGTAAGCTGGAAGAAAGAAGAACCATCTGTTGACTCATGAATTTAATTTGTTGCCACCCAGGAGCAAAAATTAAAGATGTGATTGTATCTTAGTCAAATAATCAAGCCCACATGTTAGTATTTTTTTCTTCTCTTTCATATGGGGATGATATGACAATGAACCTGAAAACAATATCAAGAGATTATGAGCAGCTTAGCAAGAAAGTCAAAGAGATAAGAGCACAGATAGTGTTTTCAACTGTACTTCCAGCAAAAGGTCACCATCCAATGAGAGAACAAAAGATTTTAGAATTACACTATTGGTGCTGTCAAGAGAACTTCAGGTTCTTAGACCACTGTCTATGTTACCTACCTAAAGGGCTTCTGACATAGGATGGGCTGCATCTGACAAGAACTGAAAATAATGTGTTTGGAAAATGATTGGCTTAGCTTATATGAAGGGCTTTAAACTTTAAAATTTAAACTTTAACATTGAGGGGAAAGGGTGACCAATCTTTAGGATCTTTAGGATCTAATCCCAAGCATAAACCCCAAGACAACAAATCAAACAAGGAAAACTCAGACATAGAAAAGAAGTTTTAGGAAACCTGGGGTTGGCCATAAAGGGCTCGGATGCCTAATGCTCAAAGTTTGAGGAAGAAACAGGGTGAACTTGAAATACTACTACATGAGGGCAGGTATTATATAGTTGCCATTACTGAAATTTGATGGAATTAAACTCATGGCTGGAATGTCATAATGGTGGGACTTTAATTACCCTGATATCAAGTAGGAGTTCAAACAAGTTCTTGATGAGCCTGGCTCACAACTTTGACTTCCAAAAGGTAGAGGAGGGGGGAAAGAAGATCAGCTACCCTGGACTTAATTCTTACTAACAGAGATGAAATGATAGAGGGGGTTGAAGTAGCAGGATCTTTGGGAGACGGCAACCATATCATATTGGAATTCAATATAATGCAGACATAAGCAATAGAACAAAATCAAACTAGTGTCTTAGGTTTTAAAAGAAATGACTTCAACAACTCAGAGAGAGCTTAGATAGTGTTCCATGAATAAAAATCTCAAGAATCTTTGGAAACTCTAAAAAAAGTGTAATTATAAAAGTCCAGCACAATATCACTGAAAGCGAAAATAAGAGATCCAAGAAGTAACCAACATGGTTGCATAAAGAACTATCTAATGAACTGAAAGACAAAAATGCCATGTATAAAAAATGGAAAGAGGGACACATAACTAAGACAGAATGCCAGTATACATACAAACCAATTTTGCAAAGATGAAGTCAGATAAAATAAGGCTCAGAATGAGTTAAGACTTGCAACGAATATCAAAAATATTTTTTTAAAAAATTAAAAGCATGTCAAAAACAAGAACGAAAAAATCGGTCCACTAATGGGAGAAGATGGCAAAGAAATGACAGGTAGGAGGGAGAAAACAGACTGGTTAATTCATTCTTTGTATCTGTCTTCACACATACACACAAAACAGCACAACCTTCCAAAAACAGAACCGTAAAAGACAGACTAGGAATACAAATTAAAATAGGCAAGAAAATAGTAAGAGAACAGCTGTCTACTACAGAAGAATTCAAATCACCAGAACCAGATGGAATATATCCCAGAACTTTGAAGGCGCTAGCAGACATGATCTTGGAATCACTGAAACATACCTTGCAAGATCCTGGAGCACCGTGGATTTACCAGAGGACTGGAAAAGAGCTGGCATGGTTCCCATCTTCAAAAAAGGAGAAAAAAATGAATTCAGATAAATATAGAGCAATCAACCTGACATCAATAACTGAGAAGAACCTTGAAAAGATAACAAACAACAAATCTGTGAACATCTAGAAACAAGCAAAGTTATAATCAGAAACCAGCATAGTTTTGTCAAAGACAAACAAATCTTATTGCATTCTTTGACAAAATGACTAAAATGGTGGAACGAAATGCTGTGGACATAGTATAACTGGACTTTAGTAAGGCATTTGACAACCTACTTCTTGCTAAGATAGAAAATAGGATTGTACCTGGTTGACAAACCACTCTCAATGTGTAATCTTCAGTTGAACTGCATCTGCATGTAGGGAAGTAAACAGTGGGGTACCCCGAGGCTCTGTCTTAGGCCCAATACTCTTTAACATCTTCATAAATGATTTAGATGAGAGGATAAAAGCTGGCAGGAATAGCCAACACCCCAGAAGGTAAGCTCAAGATCCAGAAAGAACTTGACAGACTAGAACACTGGGCCTTATCTAACAAGATGAAATTCAATAGTGAAAAAAGGAATTTTACACAGGCAAGAAAATGAAATGTACAGGTACAGAATATGTGATACCTGGCTCAATTGCAGTAACTGTGAGTGGGTTTAAGGACTCCTAGTGGACAACCAATTAAATATGAGCCAGCATATTTGTGCTGCAGCTGCAAAAAAACCCCAACCCAATGCAGTCCTAGGCTGCATTAACAAAGGGATTTAATCAAATTCATGTGAAATATTAATACCGGTTTATAATGCCTTGATAAGACCACACTTAGAATATTGCATCCAGTTTTGCTCACCATGATATAAAAAGGTTGTTTAGACTTTAGAAAGATTGCAGAGAAGAGCAAGAAAGATGATTAGGGACTGAGGGCTAAAACATATGAAGAACGGCTGCAGGAATTGAGTTTGTATAGTCTAGTGAAAACAAGAACTAGAGGTGACATGGTAACACTGTTCTAATATTTCAGGGGCTGTCACAAGGAAAAGGGGAATCAACCTATTCTCCAAAATATCTGAAGGCAGGAAAAGAAGCAATAGATGCAAACTAATCAAGGAGGAACCAATCTAGAACTAAAGAGAAATTTCTTAACAGTGGATGACTTCCCTCTAGAAATTGTGGAGTGCTCCATCACTGGAAAAGAGATTGGACAGCAGTTTGTCTGAAATTGCATAGGGTCTCCTGCTTGAGCAAGGGGTTGGACTAGAAGATCTCCAGGGTCCCTTCCAACTCTTAATATTCTTTTTGCATCTCATGTACTACAGGATATTTAATTCTCATAAAGCATCACGGAGAAGATTTTGGAGTTTGGGTGACAAGAGAATTCTAAGTAAAACACAGATCAATATTTTTACCTCAAAACAGCTGAGTATACCTGCGTTTGCAAAAGTATTGATGGTGATGATGAACATGAGGAGGAGGATAAAGATAGGCATTTACTGAAGATATAAGCATTTAAAAATATATTAGTCTAAGTAGAAAAGCTTAATTAAACTTACCAGATCAGAAATCAAAATTCCATTTCCAAAGATGAAAAATGAAATGTTTTGGGTAGAATTGCTCATTTTATATTTTGTTTACCATTAATTAAAAGCCAAGTCCATGAAACTCTCAGCTGAGAGTTCAACATATCATTAACATGTTCAGTGTGACCTCTAGGCAAAATAAACTTGAGGATGTACTGGGAATTCATATTACACATTCATAATTAATTCAAACCTCCATTGCAGTTCACTAAGAAATCTTATTATATAGCTTGATCTCTTTTATTTTGAAATATTAACTTGCAGATTGAGGAATTATAGATTAAAGAACCCTAATCAGACTATGATAGGGTTTCTTCAATCTATACATCCCTCAATATCTCTTATCTTGAAATATTAACTTGCAGATTGAAGGCAGAAACAACAAAGCTAAAACAAGAATGGCAGAGTAGTAAAAATAGCCATTTTTAAATCATGCAGAATTCACAAGCTAATGTTGCATGTTAGACATACAGGTAGTCCTTGTTTTACAACCATTCATTTAGTGATTTTTCAAAGTTACAGTGGCACTGAAAAAAGTGATTTATGATTGTTTTTCATATTTACAATTTACCCCATGATCACATGATCAGAATTTGGATGCTTGGCAACTGGCTCATATTTATGACAGCTGCAGTGTCCGAGGGTCATGTGATCACCTTGTGCAACCTTGTGACAAGCAAATCCAATGGGGAAACCAGATTCACTTTACAACCATGTTACTATCTTAACAACTGCAGTGATTCAATTGTCAACTGTGACCAAAAAAAAAGGGTTGTAAAATGGGGCAAAACTCACTTAACAACTGTCTCACTTAGGAATGAAAATTTTGGGCTCCATTGAGGTCATAAATTGAGAACTACCTATAGTCTATCCAAACATGAAGTGGCAACATGGGAATTTTCTTTTCCTTTAAATGTTTCTAGTAACTATTTTTCTATCTTAGCATATGTCCTTTGGCTTCCATTTTGTTTACTGGCAAAAACTATGGATTGATGGTTGTGAACGAACATTGTTGTACTGCCATAGTTGGATAGAAGGTGAGGGGGGGCTTTGGAGTCCATATCTTCCCTCTTTTAAAGCCTTTTTTCTTGCATTAATGTTCATTTCCAGACTATAAGCATTAGAGTAGCAGTCAGGACAACTCATAAACATTAGAGATGTAAATACAAATTTTGACAGGTACTAGTCAATAAGATGCTGAATTGCTGTGAAATCCTATAGCCTAGGTATTCCCTCACTGAAATTCTTCATCTCATTTGCATTTTTATTAGAGAATCTGCTGGATATAAATGAGATATCTTTATGTGTAGGCTTTGGGTCCTTCAGCTGCTTATGATGTGGATCCTCACTCTTTTCAGAGGTCCTGAAATTAATCTTGAAATGTCTCTGGCATCGATAGTCTGAAATGGACGCACACTTTCTGAAATACTTTCTATTTTTAAAATAATGTCCTACATTATATTCACTGAATCATAGTGGGGATGGATAAATGAGATCATATAGTCATCTCTTTTGAGCCATGTAGGCCATCCCTTTGCCCAAGGTGGTTGTTTTCAATAGCCCAGCAGCATAAAGTGGAGGAAGAGGAATCAGACAAATTTTAATCTTGTAAACAAACAGTAGCAGTTTTAATTTATTTGTTAATAAGATTTATAAATGGCCACTCATCTCAGAAGAACTGACTCTGGGTCGTATGCAATAACCAACAATTCAAAAATATAAAAAAAACAATCCTATGTAACTGGGCAAGAATCAATCCCAGGCATCTCCTCTGAACCTGCAACGAGGCCCAGCTAAGAATGATTTGAGTGCTTTTGTTTAATTGATGCTGAGAAATTCTTCCACATGTCTCTGCAAAAGTTTTCCCAGGTCCCTGTTACTCATGAGGGCTTGTATCACCAAAAACAGGGCTGAGGGGTAGCAACTTGTAGATGCAATAAGGGTGAAGAAGTACTGCTGTTTCACTGCCCTACTATCACAAGGTAGGCCTTGATAGAGACTCTGACCCATTTTCTATTGAGTTTGTCCTTCGTTGAGTGCCAGCGATGCTCTAGGCACCTCTGCTCTCATTTGGCAGGGTCCCCAAGAGGGACAAGGATCCCCCAGAAAGGTGAGGAGGCATGGGTGCAATGATTCCAATGCTTCAGCCACACCCCCTTATTCCAAGCAGCAACTAAGGCTTCAGATGAATCCTGCAACAGACTAACAGCAACAATCCACAGCACCTACTGGAACCCATCCATGTTCTTCAATTGTTAGAGGCAGACCAATGTAATGGTTCCAGCTTCCCTATAGTGGAGCATTTAGTGGATACTAGGGAATCCCATGGAAGTCAGGGCATGATGTGGACAAGACAAAGGGAGATGCGAAGAATTCCCCCAGTTTCAGATCACATAATTTAGGCTTTGACAGGAACCAATTCTGCATTGTGACCATTACCCTGGCTGTATCTGATTCTGGATGACCTGGAATAAGCCCATGGTTCTTAAGCCATGAACTCCTGAAACACCTCATATCCCATTCCTAGAGAAGGTAGATTGAAGTCCCAAGAACCATTAATTCTGGGAAAGTCCACTGTAAATCCAGAAGTTGAATCAAGGAGCTCAGACAGGGAAGTGGTTATGCTACCTGGAGGCTAGTATGCAGTGTTGGTCTGACCATATGCACTTTTTAATGAAGACTACATAAAATTAAATTAGGGTCTCAGCCCACAAAAGGCTACTAACATTTTCTCCAGCCTTCCAGGCAGAGGCAAGCAGATCATCCTGTCATTACCTCCTTTTCTGCTCTTAAACTGTGAATTAGGAGCAAAGCAAAAAGGGAAATATGATTTTGATTCCCTCTGTTAAAAAAAACAACATAAGAGTATAAGCCATGTTATATACTCCAGGGAACACATCAGCAAATGAGAATTTAAATTGTTTATGACCACAAACAAAAAGCATTTATAGCATATACATCACAATAGGTAGTTAGATGTCTGGCCCCAATAACAAAGAAATATAAGTACACGCTACTTCCAAGCAGATTCCTTTATTGTTCCTTGTCCATAGTCAGAAATCTTGTCAAGCTAAAGCAACTACAGGCTTCATTAGGGATACACTCTGAGAATCTCTAGGGAGGAGCTGGTTTAACTCTTATTTATTTATTTATTTATTTATTTATTTGATTTGCCAATTGTTTACAAGATAATAAGTACAAGTGTATACATAGTTGTGAATATATGAAATGGGTACATATAAGAAAAATAATAGAATAAGAGAAACAATAGGACAGGGACGGTAGGCACGTTGGTGCGCTTATGCACGCCCCCTACAGACCTCTTAGGAAAGGGGTGAGGTCAATAGTAGACAGTCTAAGGTTAAAGTTTTTGGGGTTTGGGGAAGAGACTACAGAGTCGGGTAGAGTATTCCAGACATTGACCACTCTATTGCTGAAGTCGTATTTCCTGCAATCTCACTCTCCTGCATTTCCTGCAAATTCACTCTCTTTGTCCCAACCAAAGTATCTAAACTTCATTGTCTTTTGATTCTCTGGAATGTAGCCCCTCCTTCCTGGAAATTCAGACTACGTTCCATCATATTAGGGCTGTTT